TTTTTTTTTTTTTTTTTTTTTTGTGTGAATTAAAAAAACCAATTTAACTTTTATGCTTTTCCTTCCTCTCTCTCTCAGCACAGATTCTCTCTCCCTTTCTGCACTGCACATGGCCCAATCCCCTTTCCTTTTCATTTATTTATTTAAATGAAACTTATTTAAAAAATTTAATACCATATTTACCCCCAACACTAATTACTATTATATCTTCTCTTTAATTTTTAATTTTGATTTTAATTTATTAAATGCAAAATTAATTTTGAATTTATATTAAAAACCTATTTAATTAAATCAGAAAATTTAAAAAAAAAATTAAAAATTCAACCGTAGAAATAAAAATTTAAAATGAATTAATTAGTTACGTGAAATTAACAAATTAGTTATGTTCACGTGAGATAATGAAACTAAAATATTCCATATTTGTCCCCAACGAACATTGACGAGCACACTCCTCTTTCTTCATCTTCTATATCACCATCCTTCCTCAATCCCTACTCTCTTCATTTCCGCCATTGTTACTCAGCTTCTGCAACAATGGCGATTCCCTTCTCCTCTCTCCTCTTAGCATTCTACTTTCTCTCACTAACAAGTATTCTCACTCCCCTTCTTCATTATTCATTCTTCCTCCATTTCTCTGTTTCTCTGTTTCTCTCTAATCTTCTCCACATTCCTTTCTTGCAGGTGCAAAGATCTCCACTCTCGTCGGAATCAACTACGGCCAGCTCGGCAACAACCTCCCTCCGCCGCCCGATTCCGTCGATTTGATCAAATCCCTAAACGCCCAAATCGTTAAAATCTATGATGTCAATCCCCAAATCCTCAAATCCCTAAACAACTCTGATATCAAGGTATCCGTCATGGTCCCTAACGATCTTATCATCAACATTTCGTCTAATCAGAACCTCGCCGATCACTGGGTTCGTACCAATATCCTCCCGTTTTACCCACAGATCAAAATCCGGTACCTCCTTGTCGGAAACGAAATCATCTCCTCCACCGGCAACCAAACCTGGATCAGTTTGGTGCCGGCGATGCGCCGGATTAAACGCTCCTTGAAAACTTATGGGATTCATAAAGTGAAAGTTGGAACCTCCTCCGCCATGGATGTTCTTCAATCGTCGTTTCCGCCGTCGAACGGGACTTTTCGGGCGGATATTTCCGATCGGGTCATGAAACCGATGTTGCAGTTTCTGAACCGGACGAAATCGTTCTTCTTCCTCGATGTTTACCCGTTTTTCCCTTGGGCTTCCGATCCGGTCAACATCAAACTCGATTACGCGCTATTTGAATCGAAGAACATCACGTATTCGGATCCGGGTTCGGGTTTGACCTACACGAATCTCTTCGATCAGATGGTGGATTCGGTGATTTTCGCGATGAAACGTCTTGGGTACCCGGATATTCGGATCTTCATCGCCGAAACCGGCTGGCCCAACGGTGGCGATTACGACCAAATCGGCGCCAACATCCACAACGCCGCCGTGTACAATCGCAATATCGTGAAGCGCGTCACTGCCAAGCCGCCAGTGGGGACTCCAGCTCGACCGGGTTGGGTTCTGCCGACGATTATATTCTCTCTGTATAACGAGAATCAGAAACCGGGTCTCGGTACAGAGAGGCATTTCGGCCTATTATACCCAAACCGGTCGGCCGTGTATGAGATGGATTTGAGTGGGAAGACGCCGGAGGCAGATTTTAAGCCGCTACCGGCGGCGGAGACTAACGAGCCGTACAAGGGGAAGATTTGGTGCATGGTATCAAGGGGAGCCAATAAGAGTGAGGTTGCAGGGGCCTTAGCGTGGGCTTGTTTACAAGGGAATAAAACCTGTGAACCGATACAGAAAGGCGGTCCGTGTTACGAACCGGATTCTTTGATACGACATGCGAGCTTTGCGTTTAGTTCGTACTGGGCCCAGTTTAGAAAGGTTGGTGGGACCTGTTACTTTAACGGGCTGGCTACTCAGACCATCAAGGACCCAAGTAAGTTGATTTTATTTTATTTATTAATATTTTTTAAAATTCTAAATATTTTACTTATTAATTAAATTTGAAATTTTATTTCTCAGATTATGGAAAGTGCAAGTTCCCTAGCGTCACTCTGCAAGGATGATGACGTAATAAATAAATTTTAATAAGTTTTATTTTTCGTTTAGGTTTTTATTTTCATGGTTGATTTAGGAGGGTAGTTTGGGCATCCCATTTCCCTAGAAGTATTAACTACGGAATGGCTGAAGACTAGTTTTATTTTATTTATTTTTATTTTTATTTTTATTTTGTTGGTAAGAAAGAAATGGGCGCCCAAATCACCTTTCCATTTTCACTAATTCCACTCACTATTTTTCTGACATCTTTTGCCACGCGTGCAACAACCTTTTCAACGCCATTTTTATGTCCACAACGGCTACTTTTTGTACCAGCAAATATGAAAAATTCAACATTGTTGGTTAATAATATATATAATTAATAACCGTTTAATTTTTTAAAATTTTAGATATGTGTATGAATAAATTTATAAATTCAATTTAATAGAGCTCAAATGATAAAAGTAACTATCTTTGTCTTACCTCGGGATATCGCTCTCTCTCGTGTCTCTTATTGTCACAACATGTTATTAGGATCAATACCAGTTGTTAGCTTTGATACCAATAGTTAAGATCGTTCAACAATGCACACTCGATCAAGATGAGCACAAAGAATAGGAGATAGAAAATACAAAGAGGAATATTGGCTAAATGTTTTATTATTAATGACGTCAGGTATGTATAGCAGGAGAGAATACAAAGATCCAAAGATTTAAACCTACTACAAATATATCTCTATCAAATCTTTATCAAACATCTACCATGGCATCAGGCTACAATTTTTCGTTAATTTTATAAATATGTCAAATACCAGGAGATTCGTTCTTTCAACACTTGGAACAAGACCTCACAGTGAAAAGGGATAAGAGCAATCGAACTATTCAGCTGCGAGGTCTGGGAATGATGCTAGGTTTAGGAATGGTGCTGGGTGAGGCCATTATGTCCCTCTAACACGATCTGAATTTGATTATGATGGCCGATATAGATCTCATTAGATTTGCGGGCGACGATTTGACACTAAATATCTAGACGAATGGGTTTGGGAGATGTTATGCCATTAGCATATCCTCTCTGTTTTTTATGCTAAATATAAGAAGAGAGAAATTAGAAACAGCCAACGAATATTCCATTTTCGAATTCCAATTATTCCCATTATATTCCTCTTTGAACAGAATAAATAAATAAAAATTCCTCAGTTCTCTGATATATTCTTTGATTTATTCCTCCAATCAGAACCTCCTCTGTATAAATCAACCAGATCGCCGTCTAAAATCACCAAAAAAAACTAATTAATGGCGATTCTTCACCGGCTCATCGGAAATCATGACCGGCGCCAGCAGCCACAGCCGATCTTCGGAAGCGAACACTCGCCCGACGAGTGCCTTTCTGAGATGGTGGTTGATTTTTTTGAAGGCGGTGAATGCGGGAGTAGTTCGCCGGCGGGTGGTTTTTTTGACGCGACGGAGATGAATGTTGAGGAGACGGATTGTACGGCGGCGGTGGGTGAAATTCGAAGAATGGTAGCCTTGAACGACGGCTATGTGGAGCCTTATAGAGAATTGCTTGTGGGTGATGTTATGGAAGCGGCGGCATCTTCGTCGAACGGTGACGTTTCGCGGCGGAGGTTGGTGATGATCCTTCGTGAGCTTCATCACGATGCGGCGATTTGTAAGACGAAATGGGGTGGCTCCCATGGTGTCGCCGCCGGTGACTATGAATTCGTTGACGTCGTCAGTGGGAAAATTCGGTACTCAAAATTTAAATATTAATTATTATTATTATTATATTAGCATCGAAAGTTATTCTAATTCTAATTGAACTCATCGAACTCATTTATCAATTAGGTACTTGATCGATACGAACTTTCCAGCTCAGTTTGAAATCACGAGGCCGACAATCCAATACACTGAGATATTAAAATCTCTACCTTTAATTTTCATCGGAACAACGGAGGAGTTGAAGAAAATCGTGAGAATCATGTGTGACGCCGCAAAGAGATCACTAAATCTTACAAATCTTATAGTACCACCATGGCGAAAAAATGGTTACATGCAAAATAAATGGTTGGGCCCGTACCGTCAAACTGTAAATCCAATTTCTGACAAGTTTCCAACATCTACATCAAAAAACACGACTCATTGGCAGGTGAAGTGCCGATGGATTGGGTTCGATGCTACCTCTTCCATGGAACTCAACGACAATACATTTGTCTATGTAATTTAAGATACATGTCAAATCCTTTTATAAATAATAAATTTTTTTATAAAATTAGGTGGATGAGATATTAATTCTAATTTTATTATATTATTGAGCTAATTATTATTTTTAATCAATAATTTAGTAGCTAATTATTATCACTGAGGTTACTAATTTGATTTATAATTATTAGTAATTAATTAAAAAAAAATATATATATATATAGATACATTATTCATATAATTATTATTTTTTTCAACGTTATTTTGTAATTAAGATGAAAAATATTACCTATGTAATTATTATTGGCGGTCTCTAAATTTATAAATTTATTATTATTGCTCAATATTTCGAAAAAGAAAATAAGAAAAAAAAAAGAAAAAAAAGGAGGAAAGAGATCCCCCGCCAAATTCTTCAGGAGGGTCGAAAATGGCGGCTTCGCGGCTTCACTTCACTGCAAGCAGTGTAGGATGAACACTGCTGAAGATTCTCCATTATCTTCATCTTTATGCCCTTCTGATTCTTCCTTCTCAGTTTGTAATTCTTATCTTCATAAAATGCGATCCCAAATCTCAACAAACGAAGTCGGTGTCGGGTTAGACTACGATCCTGATCGCTTGCTGAAGCCCTTAGAAACGACGCAATCTCTCCACCATGAGCAACCGATCTGAACGTGGGAAGGATAATCCCTATGTTCAATTCTCTGCTGCCTCATCGTCATCTGCTCAACCTGGGAAGCGTTCGTCTTCTTTAACTCTAATCCCTTACGTTCTCTCTGTGATGATTTAGGGTTTCGATTTGTTCTTTTGAAATTTTGGATTATGTTCAGGTGATAAGATGTGGGATACGTTAGGTCGCTGCGGGAAGATGTTGGAAGATTATGGAAAAATGGCAGGGGAGGCTGTGGGAAACGTCTGGCATCACAGTTAGTTTTTTTCCTCGATCAAATTTTATCTTCAATCAAACTTTCGTTTTCAGTCAGAAAATTTGTTCCTTCATGCTGAAAATCTTAATATATTGTTCAATAATTTCCTTTGTATTTGCGTAGATTCTCTGTTCTTCATCGAATTTGTTCCTTCATGCCTAAAATCCTTATATATTGTTCAATAATTTCCTTTGTATTTGCATAGGATTTATTTAAGCTTCCGATGAACTGATTCTCATAGTGAAACAGTTCCTGCTCGATCAGGTTTCTTTGAGTGAACTTGGTGATACCCAAGTCATGTTGATGAACTTACATGTATGTGTCTAATAGGTCTAACGTTAAAAAGTATCTAATAACTTATTAAACGTTTATGTTTGTGTGTAATAGATTCCTGAATTTTAAGAACTATGTACATGGTTTTTAAACTTTCAATTTCGTGTTTAATAGGTCTTAAAACTTGTAACTTTGTGTCTAACTTTCAAATTTTGGCTACATATTCACCCTTATTTAAATTTTACAAACCTACTATACATAAAATTAGATGTTTTTGTCTAATAGAACATTGAATTTTTTATTTCCTGTCGAATAGGTTTGTGAACGGTTGAATAAGCTAAGAACTAATTAGACACAAAATTGAAGGCGTAAGGATTTATTAGAAGCTTTTTAAAGGAGTTTGACACAAATCGATAATATCACCATTTGGGTGGCATCTAATAGAGCTGAGAAAGAACATGTACGAATGAGTCGATTTTGTTTTGGGAGGGCCGCTAATGTTCTTTCTATATTGCTTGCTTCCTCGAGTGTTGATTCTTTCTTTTATTGCGCTTAGATGCATGCCAAGATGTATTAGCTCCTAATGTAAATATGTTTTGACAGTAAAAGTTAGTCCAAGCATTGCTGATGCTGCAAAGGCCCGGCTTGTCCAAGGGACAAAATTACTTGCCGAAGGAGGGCCTGAAGGAGTATTCCAGAGTACGTTTGGTGTTCTTCCTGGAGAGAAATACTTGCACTCGTATGCTTGCTATCTGTATGCCCCCTCTGGCCCTGTGAATGGGACTCTTTACATATCCACAAAAAGACTGGCTTTCTGTAGTGAATCCCCCGTCGGTAACTCTCCATCTCCTGGCCTGCCACAGAGTGCCTACTACAAGGTATGGTTGACCCATTTATTGGGGACGCTTTAGTTGTGATATAACTAAAAATGAAGTATTTCTCAAATTTATATCAAAGTTTAGTTACTTTTACCTTTCGCATTTTCAGCATGGATTTGAGTGGATTACTTACTATAAAGCTTCTTGCATAATAAGCATTAAAATGTGTTCTTGACTGTTCTTTTTTTTTTTGACACGAGTACAATTGGGATATATGTCAAATTCTGGATAAAAACATGAAATCTACCGGCCTCAGATATTAAGATGAATTTTAACCATATGAAATCTACTTGGACTACATGCGGGACAAATCCCATTGGAAATAGATGGTGTGAGTTTGTCAACATGTCCCATTGGAAATAGATGGTGTGAGTTTGTCAAATGTTGTTTGACAAGCTGCCAATTGGTAGTATGAGAGGTTGCCACTTGGGGCCTATAGATTCCATATCTACTCGAGTACAGAATAACACAATTTAGTGACTACGTGGGTAGGGAGAGCCTGTTGCGCCTTGTTTTTGTTTGACCGGCCTATCCTCTTTCAAGAAGCAAGCTCCCTCTGGTTGTCCAGTCCTTGGACGCCTCTCGGTTTTTGCGCATGTTGAGAGATTAGGTGACAGTTTCAAGACTCGAAAGCTTGACACTATTTCTTTGAGTAAAGGGTTTTTTTCTTTACTAGCCAAGTGGTAAGGTAGGCCGTATCTTAGGCCATTTTCCCCTTACAATGATTCTCGGTTTTCTACTGAAGTCAATAGTATGCCTAAACTATGGGATCACGTGTCCTAGTTGGTTAGAAGCTTGCCTGATATTTTTGGCCAACCCACAATCCACTTCCACAATACCTGGTTAAAGGTGATACAATAATCATATATCATCCAAGTAAAAGAAGATAGTAAACTGCTTTGAAGGATTATTTTTTAGAAACCCTGACTTCTTGAAGTTGGCTTCAAACTACCAGAAATTTCTTCATAGTTCTTACTGAGTTCATGGTTTAAAAGATAATTACTAAGAGCATGCAAAATCGAAAAAACAAAACTTAGCTGATAAATTGAAATGAAAATTTACCATAAGAAAAGGCGTTCTGAGCCCTGGATCTTGTTTAGCTACTCCAATTATGTTGCACAGATTAGAAATTGATTTGCATCTATTCCTCTTAGATATCTGAACAATGTTGACCTGAATTAATTGGAATGTTGGCAGAATGGATCTTTAGCTTAGCTATGGGATTTTCTTAGCACTTAACTATTTAGAGCCATCTCTCAAGCATATTTATCAATTTGTAGGTGGTGATAGATCTGAATCGCCTGGCAACAGCCCACCCTTCTCCAAATCTTCTCAACCCCTCAGAAAAAGACATTCACATATTCACAAAGGATGGGTATGAGTTCTGGTTCGTAGGATTTTTATCGTTCAGCAGTGCTCTGAAGAGTTTAAACGAGGCACTAAAGCACTCCCATGCCCAGTTTGGATGAACTCAAATGATCTCATCATGCCTTTGTCTTGTTACTTGTAGTGTGCTTGCTTTTGTTCTAATAAGATGTTGCAGTTTATTGGATGTGTGTCTTGAAAAAGCTGTGTACGTTATGGTGGTGGACATAAAATAAGGGTTCCTTTAACTTCAACAATGCTTTGTAAATCTTGTAGAAACGATACCTTTTGGACTTGTGAATTGATCATTTGTTTTGCCCTCTCTTTGAAACTTTGGTGGATGATTTTGGAGATGGAAATGGTGTATATGCTTCCTCATGTTAAACTTCCTTACATTTTTTGGCTAATCCTTTAGTTTGATAGTATGATCGTATCAGGATCGTATGTTCGAACAAAAAGGTTCGTCGTACAATTTTAGCGACTACAAAAATCAATGAGTATCTCTCTCGTATGGTTTTTAAAATTTATATTAGATACAAAATTCAAAATTTTAATTTTTAGTGTTATTTACTCAATATAGTTTTTAAAATATTTAATTATTCATACTTTCTCATTGAAATCATGAAGTTCTCAAGAGAAATGGCATCCCCATAAACACAAAAAGCCTGGCCAAATTCCTTTCCTCGAACTTGGCGGGCTTTGCATGGCTACTAACAATGAAGTTCTCTTTCCCCTGTTTTCTGTATCCTTCTAGCTCAGCCATGGCTACACTCACTACCATCGTTCTCTGAATCATTTTCTCGGTGAACCAATGCTTCCAGAGTTTCTATCATGATCAAAGAAATCATCTCGAGTATTGCCGATTGGTGGTCGAAGAAATTCTCACTTGAATGGATTTTATTTCATTCACTGAGTTCCTTAATGCTGAAAGAAGCCGTGCAGCAGCTCGTTTCATGTCGTTGGTTGTCGGTAAGATTCCCCAATAACTTCGTCATCATCTTCACAGTGTTTTGATTCTCAATCCTGATTATGATCTTCTTAAAACCGAGATCCATCGTCTTCGTCATCATCTGCTTCTGCATTTCCAAATGGGAAAATTTTGCTCTCTTGCTTTGCACTTAAGGTGTTTGTAATAATTCCTCTGTGAATTCTGATGCTCTCTTTTTTGTCCATTTCCAATAGGTAGCGTGTTTGTAATAACACCAGGTGCGTTGAGGCTGCAGCAGATAGCGTCTGGAATCATTGTCAGTTCTTTTCTCAATTCAATTTCTTTTCTGAATGTGTTGATTTTTACCCAAGAATCTAACAAGATGTTAGTAAACACACAAACTAAAGCTTCGAAATCAATTGCATTAACAAGCAGATCAAAACTCACACACTAAAGCTTCGAAATCAATTACATTAACAAACAGATCAACTTGTTGGCTTTTATAGCGACTAACAACTTTAGAAAGCATACAATTAGCCAACTCTAAAAAATAGGAAAAACAACCACCCTAGTGGTTCTACCATTCCTAGAAGTGGACCGTTTTTAACACAGGAAACCCATTGCTTCACTTTGATATTGAAATAAGATTTAATTCTCTCATCTCTTTGACATAACTGGTTAAGCTTTCAGTGAATTTGTTCTAAACAATTGAAAGAGTTTCTTTCTGTATAGCAATAGTTTCGGATTTCCCTTTAAGTTGTCATTGAGCCCAAACAATTAATGATAACTTCAAATATCAAATGACATGTTAGAAGTTCAAACAAAACCAACTTTATTTTGCAAGAGTTTGTTTGTTCCTTTTGGCGTTTCTAGAATAATGGCTGGTTAAGGCATACTATAGCAACCCATGCTCAGATTAGGAATCCAGATTCAGCACCTAATGACCTTGGCATTCCCCTGCATCCCCTATGACATGGTCACATTACTTACTTCTCTCTTCTAAAAGTTAAGACTATCCCCACAAACAAACACGAGCCCTTCCAACATGTTTTGTCCTTACTCACTTCCATCCTAGAAAAATTTCTAAGTGGTCACCTGACATAAAACTATTCCAAACAAAGCACGCTTAACTATGAAGTACTTATGATTGAGCCATCGAAAAGGAAGGTGCACCTTATTTGTATAGTAGAGACTTTCACTTCTTTTAAGCTTTTCTTAGTTATCCTATCCTCAGGATCGTTCTCATTCGAACATGGTCTCGATTTATTCATGCACTCTTTTACTCAGTTGTGACACATACACTTAACTAAAATAAAAGGTCATGAGTTAAATCTCCGCTCAACATATTATTAAACTATAAAAATAAATAAATAAATAAATAACCCTGAATTTTTATCCATGATTGATGTCTTCTCAAGCTTATTATGTTCTAACCTACCATATATGTTTCTCCAAAAGTGAAACTTAGTTCTAGTGTCACTGATGCAGCCATGGTCAGGCTTCATCAATGGACTATGAAAAAGTGTTCCAGTAGACGTTTGGTTTTACTGATGGAGACAAATACTTGGGCCTTTGCTTGCATCTGAACACTTCCTCTGGGCCTGTAAATGGGATTCTATACATATCCACAAAAATGGTGCCTTCTATAGTAAGTTTCCTCTTCGTCACTCTCCGTCTCCTGGCCAGCCACAGTGGATCCATGACAGGGTATGTCTGACCCTATTATTCTTGAAAATATTTTTCTCTGATGAATCTGAAACAGGATTGGATATGGAATTTAGGCCATATTTGGTAACGTAAAACAACATGGTGTAAGAGTACTAATAGGAGTTATGTTAGGAATGTTAGTAGAATAGTAGCAAGGGCATAGCAATTATTAATTAGGGGTGTCTTGGCTGTAAATAGAGGGAGTTAGGGACCGTAGAAGAGGGATCATTCTGGGACTTAGGAGGGAGATTACCCTCTTAAAAGGCTCTTATATGGTAGTTTCTCTTTGATATTGCAATATTTTAGTATCTTGTGTTTTCTGTGTTTGGGTACCTAACAAATGGTTATCTAAATATTTGCTTCTCGTGTTTGATGTGTTTTTTTGAATTTTGAAGAAAAGATAAGCTTGAATGGATACAGAACTACTCATATGTTTGAGAGTCTGAGACTCTCTAGAAAAAGTTACTACTGGCAACTGTCACTAATCTAGTCCCCACCTACATTTACTTTTCTCATCTAACTCGTAGTGAGGGCCATGTTTCTTTCACTTCCAAAAGATCTTGTTCTAATACTTGTGAGCGAGCTAGATTGTGTGCACCTTGAAGTCTCACGAGACAATCACCTAACCCTACTACATATAGTTACCAAGATATCGTATAGAATATTAAATCATAGGTAGGTGGCTAGCATGACTTGAAATCAAAAGATAGTAACTAGTTGGTGGCCGAGTTTGTCTGTAGAATTATTCTCTGAACTTGCATTAGTATGGTTATCTTTTATGTTCTTCAGAATTTGAAACATAGTAGAACTGCAACTTAGGAAACATTTATATGGATTGTTGCAACAGTTTGATTTTAACCCCAGTTAATCACAATTTCACAGGAGAAACCCTCTTTCTTTTTCTTTTCCATTTCGTTACTTGTGATAGAAAATAATTGAAGTCCAAATCCATAAACATTCAAGAACAACAAGCCTTCAAATTCAAGAATAGTTATGAAAAGATTTGTGCATATAAGAAAACTAAAATCATATGAGACGAGAGAAACATCTAGATTTTTGATATGGATCTGGATCCGAATCTGTGAGGATTGAAGTAATGTGTTTATGATCTTCCTCAAGAATATAACTTGGACTTAAACTGAAAAAACATAGTATATTAGGGACTACGTCTCTAGTGGAATGGTATTATTCCTACTGGTCTTCCATAATCTTCTAATCGGATCACTTGAGACCATAATTCAATGCCATTTACTACACCCATTAAATACTCTAATATAATTTTCTTTTATTTGTTACCCACTTTAAATTAAACAATAAATTGGGCACCGTGGCATCAATAACAATAGGTGGAGGAACTGAAAATGTAAGGATGCAGTGTCTGATCTGCCAGTAGGATACCATTGATGGAGTGTCAGTTCACAGAAACCATAAGCTCTGATGTGCAGGAACATGTTCTTGATTCCATGAGTAATAAATGAAACCATTTAAAGAGTGAAACAAGAGTTTGCAGGTTTATAAAACTCATTCTTGGACATCCGTCAATTAATACATCCTGAACAGACACCCCCCCCCCCCCCCCCCC